AAGAGGTCAGAGTATGGGGCCAGGAGTCCACAGCCAAGGAGGCTGGAGCAGGGCACTGGCAGGACACAGGGAGGGTCCAGGCCTGCCTCCAGCAGGTGCTGCGGGTCTCACCTCCTTTTAACGTGGCTTACGGGGCCTGTTGCCGGGGACGCTCAGACAAGTGTGAGAGGCAGGTGGGACCCCCATGAACGGAAGACGAAGCTCTGGGGGTCAGCCTCTGCCAGTGGCCTCCAATCCTCAGAAAAATCCCCCCAGTTGTACCGGAGACACCCCACACCTCATGATGTACCTCCGTTAAAAGTGGCCCCATGATACAGGACAGCAATACCGGAACGTGCTGCTGCGCTAGGGAAATCTCAAGCCACCGGGCTTCGGAAGTGGCCGGAATGGGATTTAGCTTGAATTAGATGATGGCGCAGGGAGCAATTTCTTATGAACCTTTTGAAGTAACTGAATGAGAAACAGGAGGAGGACCTGGGTGAGTCTGGGAACTTCGGGAAACATCTTTAGGATGCTTTTGTAGGAATTCTCTGGGATAGAGGTTCTGAGGGAGAGGAACGTTGCAGGGCATTTACAGAGTCCTCACCCGGTCAGGAAACCAAAGGCAACGCACTAGAAAGGCAAAGAACACAAACACCGAACAGGACAGACAGACCCCGACTCACTCCCACCTTGTGCCATCAATACTGTCACCGAAAGAGACCCCCAGAGCCCCTCGTGACTCCCCAGCCCTTCCGCAGTCAACAGCCCTGTTGCCAGAGAGAGAATACTTCGCCCCTCAAAGCAGAATCTCTGATGAGAAACCATACTGTCCGCACGGCTGGAGTGAAAGCATCTCTTACATCATTTCAATCCTACGGGAAGGGGAAAATCACCAGCGTGCCCGCAGGCTCCGGAGTCTGGGTGTAGCTGACCTCTGCCTGCCTCCTGACAGTTCACAAAGCCCTTTCACATATGGAATCACGCTGGAACCTCACAACAGTCCCGAAAAGGGGACTTATCGTCCCTGATTTATGACTGAGAAAATTGAGGCTGAGAGACAGAAAGTACCTCTCCCCAAGCCATGGAACCATGGGTAAGTGGGTCAGGAATTGAGCCTTGAGCCGAATCTTTTAATTCTAAATAACACAACCCCCCACCCCGCCGCTTTTTTTTTTCTTTTTTACAAGCAGGGGCAAATAAAAAAAAAATCAATCTGGGGAGTTCCTAAAAAACTACATTTTTCATTTTATAAGATTGTCCGGTATTCCGTGATTTTTTTCCTTCCTGTATTTTTTGGCATTAAAATGTCTTTTCTTCATGAAATGATGCTAATTGTGGATGGAAGATTAACATTTTTTGTCAGGTTTACTTAATCAGATTGAAAAAAATGACAACCCTATGTTAGCCCCCAAAATGTGTATTGGGGACCTTCCCTGGTGTTAGACATCGGAAAGCCCAGGAACCAGCAGCCTGCAGTGCGCTGTTCGCAGAGGGCTACTGAGTCCGTTTACGCTCCCTGCTAACCACTAGAGGGCAGGCGTGTTACGTTACGGCTGAGTATCCAGCCCCATGCCTGAGGAGTCTTCCCGGCCAAGGCCAAGAGTGGGAGCAACACCCTCTTATGAACGTAGGAAAGCTACAGAGACACGCCCCCCCCCGACCCCACCCCAAACGTGACGGGCTTTGGAGTATCCCTGGCACCTGAATGCCTTAAAAACATATTCCTCTCTCCAGAATGTATGGGTCTATATCGAATTAGCAGCAATTCTTCTTACTGCCAAGAGAAATTTCCAGGTCTATTTTTACATTGTAACACTTTGGCAATCAAAGTTATTCAAAACCCTTTAAGCTCTGGGAAACCTTGAAACTGTGAAAGAAGTAATTTTTCTTAAATTTCAACAATCAGTGCAATATATTTTAATGAATCTCTAAAAGCATCACTCTGAAGGTGAAAACGGGGAGACATAGTTACCATTTTTGAACAATTGTGTCTATTCTCAGCTGTGTGATGCTTACTTGATTGGCACTTGTTGACTGTGTACAGTCTAAACAGCCCATGGAAGATGGTGGGCAAGCATCCCTCAGCAGGTCATCACGGGGCAGGCTTTGTCAAGCCTGCATTGGGAGACGTTGGTCTGTCCACCAAATCCACATCCACTGTTGTTTGTAGAAGCTTATGTCACCTTCACTGATTATATTAACTTCCTCCCATTATAAGTTGGAAAAGAGCTGATACTTGTGGTACCATCACTTCCGAGGGTAAACGTTATGCAGTCAATGACAACAAAAACTGACAAAATTGACATCCTTTTATGGAACAGAAGTTATCAAGATAACAACTGCTCGGGCACCCCCTCAAAAGCCACCAGCCAAGATCATTGCTCTGCCCTTCTTCTTTCTTGTCCCTGTAACTTCATCAGCAAGTTGGCCGTGGTGCCCTCCTGACAACTTGTCTGGTCCCGAGAGTGGGCTGAATCTAAGGCTTTATCATCAGCCAGATTTATTTTGCCTTAAGCTTCCCACAGTCAAGGAAAAGAAACGCTCGGGCCGTACTGCTTTCTGGCAAATAAGGAAGCAACGTGCACCAGAGGAGCCTTTCTGGACCCTGTGCTGTTTTTGTGTTTTTGTGATAATATGGCCCTGGAATGTTTAGTGACATCGTTGTGTCACCTACCAAACCACACAGAGCATGTTACCAGCAAAAATGCAAGACTCCTTTTATAAATAATCTTCAGTTCGTTTTGTGTGCATAGATCTGGGGTGGCTTCTTACCCTGGATGAGTGGAATTACATGTATTCTACATTCCACAGGACCTAGCCCTGTGCCTTATGCCAAACAGGTGTGTAATAAATGTTGCACTAAACCCTGTATGGGTTTTAAGTCAGCACATTATAGAATGCCGCATGCGGCAGGCTCCCTCAGAGAATTTCTTGTCATGTTAGAGTTTGGATCTATAGGAAATATGTATGCAGTGCTCCTGAACTACGCCTTCCATCTAAGCACGCGAGAGGAACTTTGAAGATGATCAGAGGAGAGTCATATTGGTGAAGGAAATGAAATCATTTGAATTCCACTTGGCAGTTCCAGAAATGTAAGTTACTCCCAGAGTATATATAGCCCTAGAAGGTTCTAATCCTGACACACCCTAGAACAAGTTGATGGGTTCTGGCTTCAGGATGAATGCAGAGAAGCCAACAGAGCAACCATAGCACTAAGCACATAAATATTGAATACTGTGTGCCTATAAGATGCTGTGCAAGTGGAAAAAGAATTTTCACTATTTTGATCAACCGTTGCTGAAAACTGTGGCTAGTAGCCTAGAGGAGAAATAATAATTTCTTCATGGTTCACAGTTTACAAAATATTTTCACATACCATATCACATCGAATCCTTCAAACAACCAGGTGAAGTAGTTGTTATTTTCAGAGAAGGAACGCTTAGAAATGTTGCAGTTTGCCCGGGCTGGGTGGGAAAATAGTGTCTCAAAACCAGGATATTTGACTCCCACACTAGTTCTCTCCCACTAGGCATGGATTTAGATCATCTGACCCCAAGAAGCTTACTTAAATGAATCAAAAGGACAATCTGGGTGCAAACTCAGTTTGGTTAAAAGTTATTATCTTACATGTTAGTAATTCCAGTGCATCGTGGGATTGTTTTGTAGCCTTTCTTGCCTTTTTAGGGAATTCTATCAAATTTTCAGAGTTCCTCATGAGAAGTTTCAACCCTTTTCTTCTCTACGTATAATTCATTCGCAGTGAGTGATTCCTGATCTGCCTTATTTGTAGTTGCAAAATACTGGAGCAAACAAAACGTCCAGCCACAAAGGGTGTGTTAGATCGACCTCAATAACTGGGCTTCTCTGCTAGAGTATAGGGAATTCTCTCTCTGTTCACTCAGCTGTGATGTTGTGGAATGTGAGTTCCAAAGCCCGCTGGTCTCAGGAACCCCTGCTCTCTCAGGCTCTGGAGTTCAGGGGCCATGTGACCACGGGAGTGACAGACTCTCTGCTCAGAATTGCCCCTCCTCACTGCTGGATGGGGGGAAGCCACTGGTAACACGTGTCACTAACACCAAATATTAAGTGCCACACGTGAAGGGCTAATAAAACATTAAATTGTAACACAATAAGAACACCCACCCCTTCCCTTTACTAACTTCAGCTGTAGACCAAAGCGATCTTTTTTATCCTAAGCAAGACTTCATACAGTTTTTCTTTTCTTTCTTTTTTTTTGCGGTACACGGGCCTCTCACTGTTGTGGTCTCTCCCGTTCGGGAGCATAGGCTCCAGACGCGCAGGCTCAGCGGCCGTGGCTCACGGGCCCAGCCGCTCCGCGGCATGTGGGAACTTCCCGGACCGGGGCACGAACCCGTGTCTCCTGCATCGGCAGGCGGACTCTCAACCGCTGCGCCACCAGGGAAGCCCCATACACTTTTTCTCCTCTCCTCTCCTATCCCCATCCTACTGCATCTGTGTGTTGCACACACACACACATACACACTCATTTCTGAGGTTCAGTCCTCACATGACCAGAAAGATCTAAAATGAAAAAAGGTGGGAGAGGGATGATGGAGGAAAAGAAACAAGCCAGCTAGATGGACGGGCCTCCAAATCTCAGGGGGACTGGCTAATGTTACTGTAGCTTAGAGACCGCCTAGTCATTCAGTGAAACACAGAGAAGAGAGAGATTCATTTGCTATTCTAAAAAGCCACAAGTCAGTAAATGCAAATGTGCCCTATTGGAGAAAACCAAATTAAAGGAACTGCTGGGAATTCTCTGCCTAGTTAAGCAGAACAATTTTCCCCTTTAAGGCCATGTTTACCCTTCAGAAATCACATACCCTAAAGCACAGAAACCTAGACATGCATCATTTTCGGGAAGGATATGTTGCATTAGCCCGGCCTAGTCCTTCAAAGGTAGAAACACAAAATCCATCATTGCCCTGAATGGCTTCTACAGTGCTGCAGCTGCAAAGAGAGAGAACTCCAGGGCTCACATCTAACTCTGCTTCCAGGTGACCAGTGTCTGGGTGGTCAGAGACTTGGCCTTCCTCAGCCACAGCTACATTCCAGCATGAAGACAGTTGGAGAGACCGTAGGTCAGAGAAGGACCCTCCAAAGCCAGAGACAGGTAACAGGCAAATCAACGGGGATGTGGAGAGCTCATGCCCCAGTTCCTGAAATTTGTCACTGGGTCAGTTGCAGCGAGTCGTTCAAGATTTATATTTTTTGCTTAAATTGCTAAGGAAATTTTTTCCAATTGTTCTGTCTCTGTCTCCAACCAGCCCCTGTTGGTTTTAGGTTATGGAAATACACTCAGCCTAGCCCAAGCTAAAAGGGGGTTGGTGTGAGGATTCTGAGACTTTATAAGGAAAAACAAAACAAAACCAGAGCGAGCATGGGTGTAGCTGCCTCTCTCTGGGTCTCTGTCTCTGTCTCTCCACCACTGGGTCTATGTCACTGCTCTTGTGGGAGTCTCTCCTCTTGCTTTCTCTTCTCTGGCAAGAGACTCATTCCCACAGCTCCTGGAGGATTTGTCTTCAGTGCAGGCAACCAGCAGAGACTGACACCGTCTCTGATTCTCAGTTCCAGATTCCTAGAAAATAGAAACTTGTGAACAACAAACAAAAAAAGTACCACCAGCCTTTATGGAGTTATAATTTAGTAGAGAGAAAAAGATACTACCAAAATAGGCACATAAATTTATAAATTACAAAGTGAGAGGAAGTAGTATGCAGATGTACAGACTGCTATGGTAGAGAAGAATGCTTGGGGGTGTGCTATAGACTGAATGTTTGGGTCCACCCCCCAAATTCATATCTTGAAACCTAGCCCCCTGTGTGATGGTATTAGGAGGAGCCTTTGGGAGGTGCTTAGGTCACGAGGGTGGTGCCCTCATGAATGAGATTAGTGCCCTTATAAAACAGACCCCAGAGAGCTCCCTCACCCCTTCTGCTGTGTGAGGACATGGTGAGAAGGTGGCCATCTATGAACCAGGAAGAGGGTCTTCACCAGACACAGGATCTGCCAGCTTGATCTTGGACTTCCTGGCCTCCAGAGCTGTGAGAAATATATTTCTGGTCTAAATAAGCCACCCTGTCTATGGCATTCTGTTATAGAAGCCTCAATAAACCAAGACTGGGGTGTTATATAAATTGGTGGTTCAAATTGCTATCCTGAGGGAGTGACATTTAAGCTGAACTCTGAACAAGAAGTAGGAATTAGTCATTCAAAGGGAAGGGAAAGAATACTCCAGGCCAAGGAACCACACGAACGAAACCCCACAGCAGGGCAGAGCTGAGTTTATTTGAGAACCTTACATGCCAGTGTGGCCAGAGGCTGAATTGGGCTGAGTCTCAGGACTCAGCTAGATCTCACAGGTATGAGCTAGATCTCACAGCCAGGTTGAAGTATTTTGCTGGCAGTGCAATGGGGCACAATGACAGTATTTTAAGCAGATGCATCATTTTTTGGTTTAGTTTGAAAGATCATTCTGGTGACAGCATGAACTTGTTACTGGGAAGGAAGAGTGGAAACAGGGAGGAAACAGGGAGCAACTGAGGGTCCAGAGGAGAAATGTGCTGGCTTCTTAGTCCAAGGTTATGACAACAGAGATGAAGAGAAGAGAAGGAAAGGATTCAAGATAAATTTGGGAGACAGACATAACAGGTGTTGGGATGTATTTTATTGGGAAGAGGGGTAATGAGATAAAGGGTAGAACTGAGAATGCTCCCCAGATTTCTGGTCTGAGCAACTGGGTGGGGGCAGGTGCCAGTACCGAGACCAGAGCCCTGGAGCAGGAGAAGATGGGGCAGGAGGGGAAAACTGCTCTGCTTCAGACACGTGAAGCATCAGCTTCCTCTGAGACGTCAGAGTTGAAGAGTAGGTCATTGTACATATGAATCTAGTGCTCAGAGAGGGCTCTGGCCAAGAAGGATAAATGTTAGAGCCATCAGGATAAAGAGGGTTTTAAAATCACAGCCGTGGGTGAGTTCACCCAAGGAGAAAATACAAAGTGAGTGAGAACATGGCCCAGGGCTGAGAGTGAACAACTCTAACATCTAGAGCTTAGGTAGAGGAAAATCAGCTAGGAAGTCTGAGAGGCAATGGCCGGAGAGTAATGAAGAAAACCGGACAAGCGAGCTGTCACAGAGCAAGGAAAAGGCAGGAGGTAAAAGCTAGCACAACAGCTGCTGATATAGTCACCTAAACCAACACCAGTTCAAGGCCTATGCATGGGGGGTGTGCTGCCAGTGCCCCAGAATTTGTCTATTACACATAGCTAACGATGGCACTATCCATCTTTTCCTCCCAGCCCCTTCCTGCTTTATAGATATTCTAGGTAAACTTTTTTTTTTTTAATTTATTTATTTTTGGCTGTGTTGGGTCTTCGTTTCTGTGCGAGGGCTTTCTCTAGTTGTGGCGCGCGGGGGCCACTCTTCATCCTGGTGCGTGGGCCTCTCACTGTCGCAGCCTCTCTTGTTGCGGAGCACAGGCTCCGGACACACAGGCTCAGTAGTTGTGGCTCACGGGCCCAGCCGCTCCGCGGCATGTGGGATCTTCCGGACTGGGGTACGAACCCGTGTCCCCTGCATTGGCAGGCGGACTCTCAACCACTGCGCCACCAGGGAAGCCCTAGGTAAATTTTAACTGTAAACATCCAGTCATCCATCTGCCTACCTATCCATCCATGCATCCATCCATCCACCACCCACCCATCCACCTATCCCTCCATCCACTTACCCATCCATCCATCCATCCATCCATCTATCCCTCCATCCACTTATTCATCCATCCATCCATCCATCCCTCAGCTCCTCCTTCCATCCAAGTCCCGGACTTCCCACTAAGGTGCAGGTCACACAAGGGTCCACAAGGAGAAGCCCTCAGTCCCCTTTCTTTTCATTTTTCCTTTTCCTTTTCTACTAGTTTTTGTTTTCTGCCTCTGAAGGAATTGTGCAAGATTTGCCTCACCTTCACACCATGATATCCATCCTGGTGTTTGGTCTTCGTAAAGCACCTCGGACCCCAGTTTAATTATTGAGTTGAGTTCGCAGTAGTAACCATAGCAATAATAGGAACACCATGACTGAACAATCTTCCTCTTAATGAAGAGAAGGAGTATTTCTAGCTTCCAAATTATGCACACTGTGTTTTCACACAGCCTAGATTGCCTCCAACCAATTTAAGGCTCCTCACCCTCAGTTCAGTTTCTTTCAACATTTGCATTTTCTTCCAGCCTGTCAGCATGAAACACTCTTCTGTAGCTATGCCTTAAAGGTCAGCGTAGTACCTTCACAGAGACTGATGAGTCTCTTTCCTGTTGTGCTACACATGATAGCAAGCCTCCTTCTGCCCTTGCAGCAGACACCGTCCTGGCTTAGCCGGCATCCCTGCCCGCGGCCAATGTCTTCCCTAATTGCTGCCACCACTAGAACCACAGGTTCTCCCTTTCCCAGGAGGTGCCTTCCTCTTTCTATCACCTGGACTTGCCTTTTTATAGATCATTCATCCATCCAGCTTTGGAATGATGGCAGAATTCACTTGAACTTCCCCACATAGACGCACGGATTCCTTAAGGACCCTCCGTGACACAGGTTGTAAACCTAGACCCTAAAATTTGAGGATTACTTCCTCAAACCTTCTACTGTGTCAGAATTTACCTACTGCCACTTTCTTCTTTCCCTAGACTATTTCAAAGCAACTTACAAATGGTTCTTTCACTCTGCACCAGCTATAGCCCTGGGACTCTCTCTGCTCCATTCCAGTTATACGAAGTCCAGCCCAGATGTTCACACACTGAGGCCATCCTTTGTCTTTCTTTAGGGCAACACATCTCATAATGGTCAGCTTTTTTACATTCTCTTTTCCTTAAACTCTGAGCCAACTCTATCAGCGTGTTGCCTCACACACATTTTGGAAGTATGTAGGGGTGTAAATCCTTAGAAAAATAGACCCCCTCAGCTTGTTTTTGCTGCGGCAGGTGATGAATTAGGGGGGATTAAGTCTCTGCAAGCGAGAGTTGCTAACACTGCAATGGCTCTACCAAAAAGAGGTTTCTGAGTGTCTTTCCCTGGGGGTCTTTCAAAATAAAATGAACCTGCCTTAGATGATTTAGGGGGACAGATTAGATAACTTTTCAAAATTGCTTCCGGTCCTGAGTTTATACTATTCATTTCTCCCCAACTCTGCCCTCTGATTTCAGAAGTTATGCCCTGATGAACTGCACCCATCCCCCTACCTGTGTTCTCTGTTGCCCCGATTTTATTGATGGGGTGAGGTGGACACCCTTGTAAATCCGTCAGAAACATATCTTGAAGCATACTCTGGGGTCCATATTAAATCTAGGAAACTTATATCCCTTTTCCTTCTGTCCCTGAACAACAGTTAAGCATCTATTCCCATGCTTGACCATATCTTGGATTTGCTCATTTTCCTTGCCCATTCATCATTCCAAATTTTGAGTGAATGGGCACTGCTGAAAGGCATTGAAGGTCTCCTGAGATAGTTAAGCCATGGAATGCTTTGCTTGAGAGGGCAACTGTGAACTGAGAAGCATATTCCTGTGAAGGCTTCTAAATTTAAAAGCCAGAGAGGATTGACTCTCGCCGTCTTGCTCAGCACAGGTTCATTGTGTGGATTAACTGGGTCCGTGCTACTCCAGCAATTCACTTGTGCGATGTCCAGAGACATAGCCCAGTGTTGGTGGCGCAGTGGTGAGCACAGCTGCCTTCCCAAGACATAGCATCTTCTATAACAGAGGAAGAACAGAGTGCGGGGAGAGGGAGAACACATGGACTCTGGAGCCAGATACTCCTGCGTTTCTACTGCTTCTACCCTCCTTCACCGCTTCACATCTGTGTGACTTTACTGAATTTGCCGGCGCCTTCATCTTGGATTTCCCAGCCTCCATAACGGTGAGAAATAAAGACTTGTTGTTTAATTTTTTTTTAAATTTAAACCCTGCTAAGCCTTGGTTTCTTCCTCTGTGAAATGGGGATAAATGTAAGATTGCTGTAAGGGTTAGGTGAGCAAATGAACATGAAGTGTTCAACCACTGTCACCAGTGTCCAGGGCGCATTAAACATGTCACGATTACTCCTGGCCCCTGAATTTAGCTGGGTTGTTTTGTTAAAGGCATGTCTCAGTGCAGGGCTGCATTCGAAAGAAATACCAATTCCGTCACAAAAACCTGTGGAAGGTAATATATGCCTTTCCTGATAAGTGTCTTAAAGAGGCAGAGAGAGAATTGCTTTTATTTTTTTTAATTTTTTATACAATAGGTTCTTATTAGTCATCAGTTTTATACACATCAGTGTATACATGTCAATCCCAATCGCCCAATTCAGCACACCACCATCCCCACCCCCCACCCCGCAGTTTCGCCCCCTTGGTGTCCATACGCTTGTTCTCTACATCTGTGTCTCAACTTCTGCCTTGCAAATCGGTTTATCTGTACCATTTTTCTAGGTTCCACATACATGCATTAATATACGATATTTGTTTTTCTCTTTCTGACTTACTTCACTCTGTATGACACTCTCTAGATCCATCCACGTCTCAACAAATGACTCAATTTCGTTACTTTTTATGGCTGAGTAATATTCCATTGTATATATGTACCACATCTTCTTTATCCATTCATCTGTCGATGGGCAGTTAGGTTGCTTCCATGACCTGGCTATTGTAAATAGTGCTGCATTGAACATTGGGGTGCATGTGTCTTTTTGAATTATGCTTTTCTCTGGGTATATGCCCAGTAGTGGGATTGCTGCTGCATCAGATGGTAATTCTATTTTTAGTTATTTAAGGAACCTCCATAGTGGCTGTATCAATTTACATTACCACCAACAGTGCAAGAGGGTTCCCTTTCCTCCACACCCTCTCCAACATTTGTTGTCTGTAGATTTTCTGATGATACCCATTCTAACTGGTGTGATGTGATACCTCTTTGTAGTTTTGATTTGCATTTCTCTAATAATTAGTGATGTTGAGCAGCTTTTCATGTGCTTCTTGGCCACCTGTATGTCTTCTTTGGAGGAATGTCTATTTAGGTCTTCTGCCCATTTTTGGATTGGGTTGTTTGTTTTTCTAATATTGAGGTGCATGAACTGTTTATATATTTTGGAGATTAATCCTTTGTCCGTTGATTCCTTTGCAAATATTTTCTCCCATTCTGAGGGTTGTCTTTTCGTCTTGCTTATGGTTTCCTTTGCTGTGCAAAAGCTTTGAAGTTTCATTAGGTCCCATTTGTTTATTTTTGTTTTTATTTCCATTACTCTAGGAGGTGGATCAACAAAGATCTTGCTGTGATTTATGTCAAAGAGTGTTCTTCCTATGTTTTCCTCTAAGAGTTTTATAGTGTCCGGTCTTACATGTAGGTCTCAAATCCATTTTGAGTTTATTTTTGTGTATGGTGTTAGGGAGTGTTCTAATTTCATTCTTTTACATGTAGCTGTCCAGTTTTCCAAGCACCACTTATTGAAGAGACTGTCTTTTCTCTATTGTATATCTTTGCCTCCTTTGTCATAGATTAGTTGACTATAGGTGTGTGGGTTTATCTCTGGGCTTTCTATCTTGTTCCATTGCTCTATGTTTCTGTTTTTGTGCCAGTACCATATTGTCTTGATTACTGTAGCTTTGTAGTATATAGTCTGAAGTCATGGAGTCTGATTCCTCCAGCTCCGTTTCTTTCCCTCAAGACTGCTTTGGCTATTCGGGGTCTTTTGTGTCTCCATACAAATTTTAAGATGATTTGTTCTAGTTCCACAGAAAAGGCCATTGGTAATTTGATAGGGATTGCATTGAATCTGTAGATTGCTTTGGGTAGTAGAGTGATTTTCACAATATTGATTCTTCCAATCCAAGAACATGGTATATCTCTCCATCTGTTTGTATCATCTTTAATTTCTTTCATCAGTGTCTTATAGTTTTCTGCATACAGGTCTTTTGTCTGCCTAGGTAGGTTTATTCCTAGGTATTTTATTCTTTTTGTTGCAATGGTAAATGGGAGTGTTTCCTTAATTTTTCTTTCAGATTTTTCATCATTAGTGTGTAGTAATGCAAGACATTTCTGTGCATTAATTTTTTATCCTGCAACTTTACCAAATTCATTGATTAGCTCTAGTAGTATTCTGGTGGCATTTTTAGGATTCTCTATGTATAGTATCGTGTCATCTGTAACCAGTGACAGTTTTACTTCTTTTCCGATTTGTATTCCTTTTATTTATTTTTCTTCTCTGATTGCTGTGGCAAGGACTTCCAAGTCTATGTTGAATAATAGTGGTGAGAGCGGATATCCTTGTCTTGTTCCTGATCTTAGAGGAAATGCTTTCAGTTTTTCATCATTGAGAATGATGTTTGCTCTAGGTTTGTCGTATATGACTTTTATTATGTTGAGGTCGGTTCCCTCTATGCCCACTTTCTGGAGAGTTTTTATCATAAATGGGTGTTGAATTATATCAAAAGCTTTTTCTGCATCTATTGTGATGATCATATGGTTTTTATTCTTCAGTTTGTTGGGGTTTTTTTCAGTTTGTTAAAATGGTGTATCACATTGAGTGACTTGCATGTGTTGAAGAATCCTTGCATCCCTGGGATAAATCCGACTTGATCATGGTGTATGATCCTTAATGTGTTGTTGGATTCTGTTTGCTGGTATTTTGTTGAGGATTTTTGCATCTATATTCATCAGTGATATTGGTCTGTAATTTTCTTTTTTTGTAGTATCTTTGTCTGGTTTTGGTATCAGGGTGGTGGTGGCCTCATAGAATGAGTTTGGGAGTGTTCGTTCCTCTGAAATTTTTTGGAAGAGTTTGAGAAAGATGGGTGTTAGCTCTTCTCTAAATGTTTGATAGAATTCACCTGTGAAGCCATCTGGTCCTGGACTTTTGTTACTTGGAAGATTTTTTTTTTTGCGGTACGCAGGCCTCTCACTGTTGTGGCCTCTCCCATTGTGGAGCACAGGCTCTGGACGTGCAGGCTCAGTGGCCATGGCTCACGGGCCTAGCCGCTCTGCAGCATGTGGGATCCTCCCGGACCGGGGCACGAACCCGTGTCCCCTGCATCGGCAGGCGGACTCTAAACCACTGCGCCACCAGGGAAGCCCTCTTGGAAGATTTTTAATCACAGTTTCAATTTCATTACTTGTGATTGGTCTGTTCATATTTTTTCTGTCTTCCTGGCTTAGTCTTGGAAGGTTATACCTTTCTAAGAATTTGTCCATTTCTTCCATGTTATCCATTTTATTGACATAGAGTTGCTTGTAGTAGTCTCTTAGGATGCTTTATATTTCTGTGGTGTCTGTTTTAACTTCTCCTTTTTCACTTCTAATTTTATTGATTTGAGTCCTCTCCCTCTTTTTCTTGATGAGTCTGGCTAATGGTTTATCAATTTTGTTTATCTTCTCAAAGAACCAGCTTTTAGTTTTATTGATCTTTGCTCTTGTTTTCTTTGTGTCTGTTTCATTTATATCTGCTCTGATCTTTATGATTTCTTTCCTTCTACTAACTTTGGGTTTTGTTTGTTCTTCTTTCTCTAGTTCATTTAGCTGTAAGGTTAAGTTGTTTATTTGCGAATTTTCTTGGTTCTTTAAGTAGGATTGTATTGCTATAAATTCCCCTCTTAGAACTGCTTTTGCTGCATCCCGTAGGTTTTGGATCATCCTGTTTTCATTGTCTTTTGTCTCTAGGTATTTTTTGATTTCCTCTTTGATTTCTTCAGTGATCTCTTGGTTATTTAGTAACGTATTGTTTAGCCTCCATGTGTTTGTGTTTTTTACGTTTTTTCCCCTGAAATTCATTTCCAATCTCATAGCATTGTGGTCAGAAAAGATGCTTGATATGATTTCAATTTTCTTAAATTTACTGAGGCTTGATTTGTGACCAAAGGTGTGATCTATCCTGGAGAATGTTCCGTGTGCACTTGAGTAGAAAGTGTAACCTGCTGTTTTTGGATGCAATGTCCTATAAATATCAATTAAATCTATCTGGTCTATTGTGTCATTTAAAGCTTCTGTTTCCTCATTTATTTTCATTTTGGTGATCTGTCCATTGGTGTAAGTGAGGTGTTAAAGTCCCCCATTATTATTGTGTTACTGTCGATTTCCTCTTTTATAGCTGTTAGCAGTTTCCTTATGCATTGAGGTGCTCCTATGTTGGGTGCATATATATTTATAATTGTTATATCTTCTTCTTATAATTGTTATATCTTCTTCTTCTTCTTCTTCATTATGTAGTGTCCTTCCTTATCTCTTATAACATTCTTCATTTTAAAGTCTATTTTATGTGATATGAGTATAGCTACTCCAGCTTTCTTTTGATTTCCACTTGCATGGAATATCTTTTTCCATCCCCTCACTTTCAGTCTGTATGTGTCTACAAGAGGTCTGAAGTGGGTCTCTTGTAGACAACATATAATGGGTCTTGTTTTTGTATCCATTGAGCAAGCCTGTGTCTTTTGGTCGGAGCATTTAATCGATTCACGTTTAAGGTAATTATCGATATGTATATTCCCATGACCATTTTGTTAATTGTTTTGGGTTTGTTTTTGTAGGTCCTTTTCTTCTCTTGTGTTCCCACTTAGAGAAGTTCCTTTAGCATTTGTTGTAGAGCTGGTTCGGTGGTGCTGAATTCACTTAGCTTTTGCTTGTCTGTAAAGCTTTTGATTTCTCCATCAAATCTGAATGAGATCCTTGCCAGGTAGAGTAATCTTGGTTGTAGGTTCTTCCCTTTCATCACTTTAAGTATATCATGCCACTCCCTTCTGGCTTGTAGAGTTTCTGCTGAGAAATCAGCTGTTAACTTTATGGGAGTTCCCTTGTTATGTTATTTGTCATTTTTCCCTTGCCGCTTTAATAATTTTTCTTTGTCTTTAATTTTTGCAAATTTGATTCCTATGTGTCTCGGTGTATTTCTCC